GACAGCGGCCGGGGCTCCCTGGTGATGGTTGATATGCTAGACGGGCATGAATATAATCTAATTGGGCGGGATACGGGAGGTGGTTGAGACCAATTGAGGTTGTTGTAGGTGCAGAGGTGGTGGGTGGTTGAGGTTGTTGAGTGAAATGAAGCTGAAACTTTTTTTGGCTGGCAACGAGTTGGACTTGGCCGGGATTGACGAAGACAAGGCGCAGAACCACAACTCGATTACGGAGTAGACAACTCGTATATACGGGACTACAGCGTCACTTGGGCCTCATGACCTGAGATTCTTCCTCCATTGCTGGTCTAAGTCTCGGACGTCGGTGAAACTATGCACTAAGGCTTCCGCAGATGTCCGCATACTTGTTTATTTCTTCGTTTATTCAACCTGCACCATCTTCCGCAGGATTGCGCTGCTGGACAAATTGCAATAGCGGAACGAACGTAAATACACAGATAAAATAAGTAAATAAATAAATAAGCAACCAGTGAACTTCCCGGCAATTCCGTCTAGGGATTAGTAAAGGAGGGCTAAAAAAGGAGAATGAGAAGGAAACACAAGAGGAAAAAGTGCCGGAATTAAAATTTTTTTTGAACGAGACATGGGAGGAAAATGAGCAAAAATGCCATACATAATTGTGGCCATCCATAAGGTAAAATCCGAACTGTTGTTATGCTATCAAGTCGGGCTTATGTTCTTCTGAATATGAACAGTCCCGTAATATATATATAGATATATATGTAGAGAGGGAGAGAGAAAGAGAGAGGGAGAGAGAGTTCACGCCGGCTTTCCCGGGCCCGGCAAAATAGTAAATAATATAAAAATGTTGAAGTAAGACAAGTAACAAAAATGAAAAAAAAAAAACGAAATAACAGTATTCCCAAGGAGTAGGAATTGAGAATTGCAAAGATTTCAGCACTAGAAAAATGCTTCTGTTTCTTTTCGACCCTCAATTAAAATATAGTACCAATACCAAAATCCCACCATTCAGTCCATCCATCCATCCATCCATAAGTCAACAGATCGAGCAATCAATCAACCTAGCCGACTTTCTCTCCGTTCTAGAAAAAAAAACAAAAAAAAAAAAAAACATAAAGAAACACAAGAATAGGAAAAAGCGGCAAGGAAGAAATAGCTAGATCGTGTCAAAGTCTCCGCCCGCATCGTCATCATCCAAGTCCCCCTCGACGATCTCCTTCGCTAGTTCTCTCTCCCGTTCACGCGCCTCCTGTGCATTTTTCAGCTCGAGTCTATGTTGGTTCATGGGGAATCTCATGGCCTATATTTCGTTTGCCCGGTTAATACCATATATATACCTTGCTATCATATATAGCGGAAAAGGTCAAGAGAAAATATAACCATACCTTAACACTCTCGTCATGAAGATCCAAACAGAACCGGATGCGCTCATGGAAGACCTCACCGGGCTCCCCAGTCGCATACACATCCCCCACCTCCTTGCTCTTCATATACCCGTGCTCATGATCCAGTGAAGCTTCGATTACACCGTCCCGGATGGCCTTGGCGACGATATATTCTGCTGACTCTTCACTATCCAATCCTAGACGAAGACAGATATCCCGAAGGGAAATTCGCGTATAAGCCAGAGACATCATACGAATGCCGGTCTTGATGACATTCTGTCGAAGACGTAGGATAAGTGTGTATGTGCCGTCGCGTCGGAAGGTTGAGCTGTGTTTCTGGACAATACCGATGAATCCATCTAGGTCGCCGATGCTGACGGCCTGCACGAGCAGGAAGTAAGGATGCATAGCCCGCTCAAGGGTTGCTTGGCGGAAGATTGCGCGGTCAGGGATATCACCCATCAACAACTCGACGACAACGAGGAGCTTAGTGGATGCCTGGTAGAAACCGCCTGCGGTGTGGCTCGAGGGGGATTTGCGAGTGGCACCGATCAAATGCTCGTGAGCCTCAGTGTACTGCAGTTGGATGGCACGGATCCGACCAAGATAGTAAAGATACCGAGCGATCTGGTTGTTGGGTGCTCCTGGCGGGAATTCTGAGCGAGAGACGAAGAGGTCTGCTTGGGAGATGTGCGACGTTGACAGGTAATTACGCAGGAGGAGGGTGGTGATAGTTGCCTGGATGTCTTGGTCCTTTCGAAGAACTGAAGTTCGCAATGCCTGAAGTAGTGGCTGGCGGATGGAAATAACGGCTGCGGCTGGAGACGGGGGAAGCGGAGCAAGCTGCTCGTAAAAGAGCGAGTAGTAGAAATAAACACGAGCAGCCAAAGAATCCAAGGTTCTTCTATTGTGTGATCGCACAAGCTCCACAAGGCTACTGGAGAAGTTTGCACCCTGTTCAATGTCCTTCTTGTCATATAGATAGATCTGGATGAGGATAGCCAAATAGATATCGACCTCGGGAAGAACATCGCGCGTAGCGGTTCCCTTTCCATGATACCTTGATTCACCATCGACATCCATTGGCAAATCAGCGGCAGCATCGGCGAAAGCCGATTTCTTGCCAATGGAAGCTAATAGGAATGATGCCGTTGAATCCGAGGGCTGATATGTTTCTACGATGACCTGGGCAAGAAGGTCAGCAGACAGCTGTTTCCGTACCGATGATATCGACCGCAAGGCTCGCAATGTAAATCGGGGATCAAAATGAACAACAGCACGTTCGAGCAGTGTGAAATTGTTTTTGATATCTGTTAAAAGAGAAGCGATAATAAACACATGCGTTAGTTAAATCACCATGTCTGCCAGAGTCATCAAAAGTGGCATAAAGGAAGAAAAAAAAAAAAAAAAAATCAAGCCAATAGTACCTGATAAGGCTTTCTCCCTGGGATCAACTTGCACCTCAAGCTCAGCCGCGTCACCATCCTCCACCTCATTCATGGTGATATCGTGCTGATTTTGTTCGGGTTCTCCTGATAATCTGGAGCCCTTGGATGGTGGCACCACCACAGTCATCCCGTCATCAGGCTCACCTCCTCCTTCACGATGATTCTTCTGCGTGGCAGATCCATTGATATCAGCGTCGTCTTCTGCCATTTCCACATCCTCCGTCCCGTTGACATTGTTGACGCCATTCTCGACGGGGTCTGAGCCGCCGTTGGTGTGAGGAGCAGTCTGATCGTTTTCAGCAACCATCTTCTTTGCAGCAGATGTGGATGCTGAAGTCGAAGTTGGTGTTGATGTTGAGCTAGCGGTATTGGAGGAGGACGTCTTCTTGCCAGAGGCAGCAGCTGTCTTCCCCCGGGCAGATGATCTGGTAGAAGGAGGAGCCGGCTTATCTTTGGAATTCTGGGAAGTAGAGTTTGAGCGATGTTTTTCTCCGTTAGCTGAGGTGTCCGACTTGTTGGACCTCAGGGAACGCCTTTCAGCAGGCATATTGGAGACTCTGAAGGTGAGTAGCTTGTTGGGCGTACTACTCGGCGCCTGTGCAAAAGTTGGAACTGGGGGATGGAGCTGGCGGCTGGCAGCTTAGAAGGGAAGAGACGACAAAGCAAAGAAAGGAGAGTGTGAAACAAAGTACAGTGACAAAAGAGCCGTAGGGGGGAGAGAGCTAGCAGGAACCTAGAGCGTCTGGGGGGGTGGATGGGGAGGGTAGACAGCAATGACAATGCTGTGTCGAGGTGATGTTTGAGGTGGTCGACAGAAGAAGGTGACAGAACAGGCAGGCCGGGTTGGGTTAGGCGTGGCGGGCGATGGGCGGGTTGGGCTGGGCTGGTTTATGTGGTGCTGCGCTGCTGGAAGGGCTATGCCGCAGCTAGGCTGGGCTGAGGCTGGGCTGACTCAGCAGCTCCGCGTACCGACCAGTCAGCACAACAGCTGCCTGGGTCAGCAGCCGTGGTCAGTCGACAGTGGCGAGGAGCCGCCTCTGAATGGTGAGCAGCTGCGATTGCGTTGATACCAGGGGATTGGAGATCACCAGTCGCATCGTTGATCGTATAGTTTTGTTTGGACCTTCGACGTGCTGGTCTTGGCGTGGAGGCATTGATATGTTGATAGTAGACATATCAACTCTGTCCCGGTTCATACCGTAGGAATCGGATTCAATAGCATACCTCTATAATCCACTCCAATTGAGATTGAATTTTGATTCCCGTTCGCTTACCGCCTTCACCAATGGGTCTCCTTGAAAGCCATCTAGAGCAGATCTCCCTCTCTGCAGCTGCCATTGCGGATCTCCCGTATGAGACGATTCACCCAACCTGCTATCATTTATCGCTCCTATATTTGACACTCGCTAACATATCTACACAGTTTCCCGCCTCCCAAAATATTCGCCAATGCTATGCTCGGCCCCCATGACATCACAACCCTAATCCGCGACACAGAGCCTCACGAACGAGCCCTCTTCTCCATTGACCCCTCTGCCAATTCCCAACCCCGCGTCACCTCTGCTTCTTCAGCAAACTCCCAAAGAAGAGCTACCCGTACAGTCACCACTGCTGCGTCTGGGTCTTCATTCCCGGATCTAGTCCTCCCCTTTCCCCATGAGGGAGGAGACTCCATGGCCAGTCGCATATATGCTGCAAAACACAACAAAAGCCAATCCGCCGTAACCCAGGTCCTCGGTGGAGATATGGTAGATGAGATTAAGAAGTCGAGAGGTGAAGTTGATGTCAAGATGTTGCTAAGGGGAGCAGAGATGTTGTGTAATGTCTAGTGAGTTTATGCCTCTGCATGTTCCCACCCATCCATCTTGTTGACTGATTTGCGCGTCTAATCTCTCCCTTTGCTGTCTGCCAGCCCTATTCCCGGCGCCCAAGAACAAATATCCACTCTCCGCCACCGCCATGAGCATCTCTCCGCTTCCGTCGCGCATCTGGAGTCGCGCATTGCAGAGCAAGCCGCTCAGTTGCAGCGGATGAACCGCTCGCAAGATTATTCCAGTGATTACGACCCTGCAGAGCTGGAAACCAGCACCGAAGTTCTTAATGCGGAAGTATCTCCGCACGTCACGGAGGAAGACCTGCATCGCGAGATATTCGAGATTCATGAATTAGAAGCCCGGAAACAGAAGTTAGAAGAGCGGATGACGGGAATGGAGAGGGATCTGGGCGAGTTGATGAGATGAACAAACAGGATAAGGAAGGATATGCTATGTACAACGTGTGAGGTTTTTATTGGCTTTTTAACGTCTACACTTTCATATTATATTATCCTGATCGTAGATCTGGTGTGGGATTATCTCTCCACTCATTAGCCCAGTCATCACCTACTGATGTGTGATGCATACGAGAAAGAGGAAACTCAGTTGCGCTTGCTGGTATCCTACAGTACAGCTGCCCATGTCCAGCCGGAAAGCGGCGTATGAGAGTGAGGTTGATGTGTTGGTGACGGATGGATAGAGTGGGGAAGGGGAATGAAACAACCGCTGCTCCGAAAGATTCTAACACCGACTCCTCCATCCACTGTATGCAGCAATGGATTTTGTTGGCTAAAAGAGCGGCAGAACGCGAAACCGCATTCCTGGCTGCTTCCTAAGCAGTCGCATTGCTAGATGTATATTTTGTGTCTGGAAAGCATGCTTAAAGATAGGGTTATGGGTATTCTTAGCCAGGAAAACGGTCTTAACGTCCAATTCCTACCGTTTTAAACGACGGTAATGGATGTATCTGTCTGGGTATATTACTTGATGATAATGCCCGAGCATGACAAGGACAAGGAAATGAAGCCATTCTCTGAAAATGAATATCGAACCCTCCTGAACCTCAAGTGAGGATTTAATATAGATCCGTCTCATATAACTAGTGGTTAAAGTATCTCTACCTGCATTTGAAGTCCGTGCCAAGACTTGTCCTGATTGGGCAATTTCCAACATCAACGAGTCTTCGTGTCAAACCAACTCTCCTTTGGTGGCCAATATAGCTACATGTCGGCTATCCTCCACCATATTATTCTTATCATTCCTTTCAACTCCAAGGCATATATATACACTGTTCTTAACTGCATCCTGAAATCGTACGTGGAGGAGCGAGCCGTCCTTGAAACCACCGTTGGGAAGTGCCTGTCGCTGCCAAACAGCTGCAACGATGGAATCCTCCGCCTCATCGAACCAGCCCAACCCGCCTAATAACAATCCCAATAACCCTCCGAACCAGGGCTCTGCTGCCATTCCTGCAGCCCAGCAACAGAACCTAATCCGCACTGATCAAGTCCAGAAACTCCCACACCTGACCGATGCGATGAAAGCAGCAAACACGCAGGCTGTGCGGAGCCTGTGGGAGACGATCAATGCAAATGCTGCGGGTACCCCCGAGTATAACGCCGCCCATGCAAAGTTAGCTGGTATTTCACAGACTCTCATGCGCCAGATGAAGTCGTTTCAGTATCGACAGATGCAGCTTCAGCAGCAGCAGAAACAAATGCAGCACGTGCAGCAGCATGTCAAGGACAGGCGCACGGGAAGAGTGAAGACGCACAGCCACCCC